GGCTGGATTGACTGGTGACTGTCCAAGAGTCTAGTGTCTGAACCAGCCTCAATCAGGGAAGGAAACACATTGCCTTGGCCCTACTCCACATTAGAGTTTACAAGGACTTTCTGCCATCAACCAGATGTGGACTGTGAGAAGTTAGGCCTGAGTTCTGTGGACTCCCGGGAGTCTTCAATTCTTTGGGTTTGTGACTTCAGTTTTACCTTCTGTCCTAATTCTTTCCTGGACCATGTTCACATTTCACACACAACTGTTTTCTAGCCTCTTTCAGCTCCAGGTCATATGTTTCTTGTGTTAGTTTTAAAGCTATAGAGTTTCCCAGAATGCATTTCACCCATGTCAAATACTGAAATAAAAATTCAAAAGTAGTTATGAGTTCTGGGGTCAATAGAAAAGAAGTCTGAAATATGGCTACTTTTTTATGTTTTTTCAAAGGCCATGGTGGTGGTGTGAGTTGAGAACTGCTTTAATTAGCTTTATAATCGGATAAGTCCTCATAGGGCTGGAGTGGGCCAAAGAGGGATGAGAATGTTGAAGAGGGTGATGTTCTTCAAGATGCATCATATTCACAAGCTGCTTTATTAAATGGCACCTCCTTGGTACAACTACTCAAAGATATTTTTTAAATAATTAAAAAAAGAGAAGCAAAGAGGGTTGAGGATATAGCTCATTACATATACACTTAACTAGCACACGCAAGCCCTAGTTTCCATCCCAAGTGCCACAAAATGAATGAAGTAATGAATGAATAAATGGATGAATGGATGGATGGATGAATGAATAGATGGATAAATGACTGGAATGTTAAAGAAAATCCCCTTTCAAATCTACTTCCCCCTCAAACTTGTCTTCCCTTCTTTGCCATTTTCACATTCTCCTCCGTCTCCTACTTTTGGAAAGCAAGGTCCACCCAGCTCCGCCTTTCTCTCCACCCTTTCATTCTGGGGATGGTGATGTCACTTTCCCAGCCACTCCATGCGGGCAGGCTGCTCTCTCAGAGCCCACAAAGGACATTCCAGTGGTCAAATTCAGGAAGCTCTTTCCAACCCCATCTTTTCTGATGGCTTCTGAACGTTCCTCTCTTTTCGGTCCCATGACATTGCTGTTTCAATTCCCGGTCTTTCAGAGTGCTTTGTCTCCATTTCTTTCTGCCTAGATGTTCTCTCTGTCTTCTGACCATTTCCACTTGGGCAGAACTCGTATTTTGGGGGCTGACATTGCTTCTTCCTTGCTCAGGCCTGGTTTGAACTACTCTTCTTCTTTCAAATCCATGTTACCAGCAGCTGTTTAGTTGCCCACATTGGAAGCTCTGGAAACATCACTTTCTCTAGATCTTGGTCCAGGTACCGCAGAAGTCTTCTGTATTCTAGAACTCCTTCCTCCCTTGGCAGACTGTATTGCTCTCTTTGGCACTTATGACCGCCGATACTGCCACATGTCTAACAATTTCCTGCCTGTCCATAGTTGAAGACTCATCTCTGTCCCTTGCTATAAGCCTTGGAATTTAGGGCACCCCCAGGCATTTATTGATAGATAATTGTGGAATGGGGGAGAGAGGCTTGGGTTTCTTCCTCTGCCTCAGACCCCAATCATTGGCAAGTTTTAAAGTTTTGCTGTTTTATGATCATTATATTATTACTATTGTTATTCATCTTGGGGATGTTTCTCAAATCTGTGTTTTTCTGTTTCTTACCACATACCTTTAGGACTTGCACACTGCCCTGAGTGCTGGCCTCCATACCACTGCCTTCTCCTAACACCACAAACTTGTGAACAAAGCTCCCTCTTGAACTCAGTCTGGATGTCTCTTCTCTCTGCTTGGACCCTGCAAAGGTATGCATGGTAGATGCCCACTGATTGATGCCCAACAGTCTGGAACTCTCTGCCCAAAGGGGTCTGGGGAAGGCTCCAACTGCATCCTATTTTACAGTGAGGTTCAAAGGGGGATTGGGAAAATGCAGGGAAGAGCTAAAGAATCAGAGACCACAATGCATTCTGTAAAAATAAATAAATAAAAAAGAACATAGGAAAGATCCTTGGAGTGGGGACTGGAGTAACCAGGGCAGAATTCTAGAATGAGTCATTACAATAGAGATGAACAGCTAGCTACCCAGGGCAAGGAGTGGGTGGAGAGGGAGGAAAAGAAACTCAGTCATTCCAGAGTGAGATAGGATTTCCACACTTGTCTGCATTGGAAGGCTAAAAATAGGGGCATTTGGGGAGAGAGCTGGTGAGGAATCCTTTAGTTCTGACACAGGCTGGAAGGAGGTCAGTGCGCAGGGAAGGAGTATGTCTCTCACTCTTGGTGGCAAAATTAAAGTGTTTTATTTTGGGTGCTCCAAACCTCACTCCCCTCCAACCCAGCCTAATGGTATTTTCTTTCACCACTATCGAAAGAGTCTGGCATATAAATGTATAAGGTACAAGGTGGCACGTGTAATATTATCAGAAGTTTATGCCAAGCTAATGACACTAAAATATAGCAACCATAGACAGGCAGACAGACAGACAGATAGATAGATAGATTACATAATAATATGTAGTATTAGTCAGGTTGTGTCATGGCAAAAAATACCTGACATAGACGATTTATAAGGGAAGACTTCTTTGGGCTGACAGTTTCAGAAGTTTCAGTCCTTGGATTCTTTGCACTACTGCTTTGGAAGCTTTGTATATCATGGTCGGAGGGATGTTAGAGGAAATTGATACTTCATCATTGATGAGGGGGGGAAGAAAAGGGGGGAAAAGGGAGTGAGCCCAGATTCCAACACTGCTTTCAAAGGCACATCCCAAATGACCAAATGACCTAACTTTCTCCCAGTAGGCCTCACCTCCTCCAATAGTGCCATCCTGGAGTACAAGATTTAACATAGGGCCTTTGAGGTACATCCCAGATTCAATATATAATTTACGACACCAAAACACGGGGCTAAATAATTCATCAAATAGTTTCTGAAATGTGTTTAAGAAAAAGCTTTATTTAGATGGTCATTATTTATTAATAATCAAATCATTATTTATATGATCAGGTAATTAACATCTAGCTATTTATATGTAGAATGTTCCGGGAACAATCTACTCTGTTGGAGAACCTGGTGAAGAATCATCTATAGGAGGAAACATTACAAAGCTATAAAATATGTAGAAAGCCTTTTTAATAGCACAAGGCAACACTTACATGAAACCTTAGGGGAAATAGGGCTCCAAATTGCTGCTATGTCAATTATTTTTAAAAATTATGATATAGATAGAGATATCTATCTACACCTATCTATACAGATGATTTAGAAAATCTAAGTTTTCTTTGGAATCGGTGGCACTTGGGATTGTTCTTAGTGCCTTCTTTCTATTTTTCTGTATTTTCAGACTTGTTTCTTATAATCGGCATAAGATAAATATTACATAAATGTATGGTGTGAGGAGAAAGCACTTTTGGGATTTCTGGAAATTTCAGTGCCATCTTGGTGTGGAGGGCTTGTAGAGAATATGGAAGGTTATGGGGATGAAGCATTTCTGAAGTGGAGGGTGGCTGGACAGGTAGCTAAAAATTATATATATCTATATTTATTTATTTATTTTTGGTCTGTTGTGGGACTTGAATTCTGGGCCTGGGCGCTGTCCCTGGGCTTGTTTTGTGCAAGGCTATAACACTCTACCACTTGAGCCACAGTACCACTTCTGGCTTTTTCTGTGATTAATTAAACACAGGAGTCTCGTGGACTTTCCTGCCCTGGCTGGCTTCGAACTCCAATCCTCAGATCTCAGCCTTGAGTAGCTAGGATTACAAGCATGAGCTACCAGCATGCGGCTAATTGGCCCCTCTTCTTTCTTTAAAACACAGCTCTCAAATGAATCGAAATCTTTCTTTTTTTGTTGATTTCTCAGTAGTAGCCTGCATTACAGTCTCAAGAATCAAGGCTGTGTCCTGTTGAAGGAACAATCTTATTTCATATTGCGCCTTATGTCATAACCCCTACATAAAAGGCTTAGCCAACCAATTATGTTTCTTTAAAGACCACAGATTTCAGTATTTATAAAGTGTATTTTTGTTCCTGGAAATTACTTATAAACATTTGCAATTCCCCCCTCCCCCTCATTAAAGTCCACTTCTCACCTCACCAGTCCCCCACCCCTGGGATCTGCTGCTTTGGGGTAGCCATTGCCTGTGTGTGAGAGACAGACTTGAGACTTCATAGCCGGGATAAAACAAACACCAAAAATGCCAAAACAAACCTCAGCAACAGCATCCCTTCCCAGATTCCTAATCCTCTGCTCTTAAAAAAAAAAAAAAAGGATCCCTGTGATACATGTATTTAAATGGAGAAATTCCACCACTTTGAAAATTTTAAATTTAATTTACCCATATATATATATATAATTTACTGTTATCAAAGTATCCCAGCTCCTGACTAAGAAATTCGGGATGGCAGGAGCAAAGGCGAAGGCCAGAAAGAGAAAAGTGAAAAGAAATCCCCAGCTCTCTGCCTGGGAGACTGTGTGTGTGAGAGGGAGAGGGAGCGAGCCCGGTTCCCCGGGCCTGTTCCAGGCCGAGTTTTGTAGGCGGCCGCATCTGCCTCCCCCCCCCCCCCCCCCAGTCTCTCTTACCTCCTAGATGCGCGGCACTATTTGTGGCCGGCGTGGTGGAAGGACACAGTGAGGTTCTCACCCCCGCCCCTCCGCCCCCCCCACCCCGGCTCCCATCCCCAGCTCCGTCGACGCGAACCCGGGCCAGCGCAAGGATCTCCCCGAGTTGCGGGTGTGCTGAGGCTGGGACTGTCACTCATTCTGCGATCCGCGCGTGAACGCAGCTCGGCTGCCGCTGGCAGGAAACGATCCTGCAAGAAATAACCACGCTCAGCCGGGAGACGGTCCGCCCCGCGCCCGCCGCCCCGCGCCGCCGCCCCGCGCCGCCCGCCGCCGTCCGCGCCCGCCGCTGCGCCCCGGGGGCACGGGGCTCGCCGCCACAGACGCCCCCCGAAGCCCCGCAGATCCTCACAATGCTGCGAGCCAAGGATCTCGTCTGCACTTTGTTTTTCCTGGGAACCGCAGGTACACCGTGCTCGTCTGCTCTCGCTCTTTTTTGTTTTAAATTCTCAATCGGATCTGCTCATTGCCCCCCTTCTCCCCCCCCACCCCCGTCCTGAGGAACATTGTTATTTGAGGGGTGCTGATGCTGCTGCTGCTGGTGGTGGGGTTTACGTGCCAGCCGAAGACTGGAGCGCGTCGTCGTCCTCCCTGCCCAGCCCGGACCCCCCCCCCCCCCACTTCACCTCCTCGCCTCCTCGTGCCGTGTGTGTCCGGGGATGGGGGCGCTGCCACCCCAACTGTCTCTCCCCCCCCCCCCCGCCACACGCCCCGCGCCGCCAGCGCCCCGCGCGCGCCCCCCGCGCCCGCCCTCCCACTTTGTGTGCCCGCCCGCGCCGGTGGGAGCGTGGGGGGGCGGCGGGGCCGCGGCGCTGCGCTGCGCTCCTTCCATCCCCGCTGGAAGGCGGGCGGGCGGGCTGCGGGCGGCTGGGGTGTGTGTGTGTGGGGGGGGTGCCCCGACGCGGGGCTCGGGATGGATGACGACGGCGAAGGGGCTTGTCATCCCCGGCTCGAGGAAAGAGGGAGAAAGAGTGAACAATAAAGCCGGGGAGTCCCCCCCCCCCCGCTCCCGTCCATGCTTATTTCCCCAGGGTTAATAAAGTGGGGCGCACGCACTGCCTTTGCACGCTGCTTCCCGCCCCCCTCTTCTCCCTCCCTGCCCAGGGACGAATAACGGTTTGTAGAATGGGGCGCAGTGAGCAGAATCGCAGTGCTGTGCGGCTGTACCCCATGACGTTCAGGTGGTTCTGGGGGTTGTCGTTGTTTTTAATGATTTTTTATTATGTGCCAAATGGCTGCTGAGTTGGAGAGCCGGCCGGGAGCTGGCAGGGCTGGGAGGGTTCGCCGTGCATTTTGACAGGAGGAAGTGCGGAGGGGCGGAGGGCGAGGAGGGCGTGATCGGGGCTGCCTGGTGTGTGTGTGTGTGTATGCGCGTGTGTGCGCGCGCGCGTGTGCACGTGTGCATGGACGCGCGTGTGTCTTTACACGCACCGCGAACCCCGTGGTGCGCGGTGCGGGGAAAGAATGGCAGGTAGCCGCCGCGTGCACCTCGCCGCCGCACCTCCCCCCCCCCCCCCCACTCCTGCCTTTGGGCGAGGTTCCCGATCCTGTCCAAGTGCGAACAATGGGGGAGCTGGGTGGACGGCAGCGGGGGTGCTGCCGCGGGGGGCGGCGGCGGTGCCGACGCCCTGGAGCCCCGGCCGCCCCGGAGGAGGAAGGCATATTGCATTTTTTAGACACTATTCCCATCTCCGTGTGAGCGCCCCCTCCCCTGCAGCCGCTTCCCCCCCCCCCTCCCACCCCACCCAAGGATCTGCGCTTCGGTGGCTGACGCTCTGCTCTGGGAGGAGTGGAAGAAAAGGGAAGGGAGCCTTGTGGCTTGGGCGGACCGCCTGGGCTGGGGGTGGGCGTGTGCTACGAAGCCCACCCCACCCCACCCCACGGAAGGCCGGTGGAGGGCGGTGGCGTGTGGCGATCGCCGCTGCCAGGTGCCGCGGTACCTGCCCCTGGCGCGCCCAGCCTGGGTGGAGAGCTGGCGGGGCGGGCCGGGGAGCACCCAGCGCGCCCCCTCCACGGGCGGCACGGGAGCCGCGCTCCGCCGCCGCCTCCAACCCAGTCGGGTCCCTCCCATGGCGACCAATCAGAGCGAGGCTGGCTGGGCGGGAAGCCGCGAGAGGCTTTTTATTGCGGCGCGGGTGGCAGCCCGAGCTGCCAGGACCCTAAAGACACCCCTCCCCCGTCCAGCTTAACATTCTCCCCCGCACCCCCCCGCAGGGAGACCCCGCCCCTGAAGTCCATCCCTGCTGTCTGCCTGTCTCCGAGGGGATAAAATGGAGATGGGGAGGGTGGTCCCCAGGAGGTCTCTGGGTGGGAGCCGCCTGTGCTCACCCACTCATGACTCTTCCACGGCTACTTCGAACATCTCCGCTCCCCCTGCGGGGCGCACGCTGGCGCCCGGGCGTTCTGGCCGAAGCGTGATGGTTGGAAGGGCGCGGCGGGGAGCCGTGCCCCGGGCGCTGCCAGGGCGCAGATGCGGTTGCGCACGCGCTGACCCGCTGGCTGCGGGCTGGGGGCGAGGCTGGAGGGGCGGGGCGAGGCAGGGCTGGGTCCCCAAGGCCACCTGGCCGAGGACCTCCAGGGATGTGCCCTTCTCCATCTTGAATGTGGGTGATCTCTTCCTCTGGGCTGTGTTTCCGAGACTGCTTCCCCTCAGGGGTGGGAGAGTGACAATGGAGACCTGATCTTCTGTGTGCCTTTTTTGGGGGGAGATGGTCAGATTGTGTTTTCCATCATCAGGGATGGGTGTAACCCTGAGGTTTGGGACCCCTGAGAGTTGCATGCAGGTCTGCAGGCACAGGGAATTCCTACCCTGGGCGCTGCTCCTGGATGCTCAAGCCAGGGTGCTATTGTAGCCAGTGTGGCCAGTGGCAAAGTGTCCTCTGGTCCCTGGCCCCAGGACCACACTATAAGGATGAAAAGAAGGCAAAATGTGAATCACATACCAGATTGCTTAACAAAGAAAGAAGTTGAATGGGTTTTTACAAAGAAAACTAATTTTCCATTGTTGTTCCTACAAAAAAAAAAAACCCCACCAAGAATCAGGATGAAAATAGTCTGATACACAGCACACACGTTCCTTCTTTTTCCTTTCCCTTTTTCTGTTTTAGTTTTAAATGCGTTTAGCATGTCCAGGGACAATTGTAGTTCAGGCTCTGTGCTCTGCTTGGGGTGTGTATGAAAATTGAGGTATAAGGTGTGTGCTAACTGGAATACATTATATGCTCCAGGTAGGCTGCCCCTGACTCGTTGGCTATCTTCTTCCCAGGAATAAAACTGAAGGTAGTGGAATCGCATTGTCAATTTGAATCTATTCTAGAAGCACTTTTGGATGTTATGTGGAAGAATGGTCTGGAATGGTTAAGTCATGTGTTTAGTTGGTAATTTTACAGTCCTTTATTTAACCTGCAAGAGTCAAGGAATGGATAGGAGTGTTTTTTTTTTTTTTTTAAATAAGGGCCAGTTTAAAAACAAAGATCACGTAACTGCTCATAAAGTACATTTCATAGCACTTGCTAAATAATTTAGGGGCATTTTAGCCAAGTTGACTGTGAGCACAATTATAGTAAACTATATTGTTTATATTTTATATTGATTTCCATTTAAGAGGAGAAATTTACCTTTCTGAGCAAAATAAATGACTAATATACATTTTAAGATGTGGAAAACCTCATATTTCCTATCAACAAACCTAAAAAGCTAATGTTCTATGCATACATATTAGCATATTTTAAAATATTGAAATTTAATTTAGAATTCATTTCAAATGCAATAAAATTTTTAAAAAGTGAGGAATATAATTCAGACATTGTAGAAGTGTGGCCTGTCAGTTCTTTTAAGTTTTGGAGTTACTATTCCCACTACAAAATTCCTAATGATTTATCAACCTGTCAAGTTTTTCATTAATTTAAAACTTACGATATTCTTTCTCCCAGCCCCATGTTGGAACTTAACTTCTTACCAGATACCTCTGCTCATGATCCTTTTCAAAAATAACATTGCAATAACAAAAATAGCAGGGCATAGCCTTGTCAGTGAAAGAGTTTCCTCTAAGTCTTCCTACACCTATTGGTTAAGCTAAACATTTGTTGGTTTAGTTGGTGACTGGCTCTTTGGAGGCTCAGATCTGAGGATCCAGATTTGAATTTGTTAACCTGGGCAGCCAAATCCAAGAGATGTGTATCTCCAATTAAACAGCCAAAAGATGGACTGGAAGTGTGGCTCAAGTGGTAGAGTGCTGAAGCAAGAACATGAGTTCAAGTCCCTACATTGACACACCCCAAAAATGAAGATAGTAATTGCCAGAAAAAAAGTATACTATGGGTGTGCAAAAGACAGTAATATTTACTCCAGGAAGTAATCACTAAGATGGAGAATTCGTTTACATTAAAAAATTTAGTTTGGCCAGGCATCAGTGGCTCATGCCTGTAATCCTGGATATTCAGCAGGCTGAGATCTGAGAATCACAGTTCAGAGCCAGCCAGGGCAGGAAAGTCTGTGAGACTCTTACCTGCAGTTAACTACCCCAAACAGCAGGAAATGGAGCCTTGAGGAAAAGAACCTCAGGGACAGCACCCAAACCTGTAGTTCAAGCCCCAGGATTGGCACCAAAAAAAAAAAAAAAAAAAAAACCAAAACAAAACAACCCCCCCCCCTCACCCCGAAAAGTTTGCATACTGCTTCTGTTTGGAATATAGCTATCCTTAATTGAATTCCTTCTATAGGTAACATAAAACTCACTGTAAATAATCTCTATGTTTTTCTGTCAGAAGGAACAATGTCTTAATTACCTTTTGAAATAAATAGCACTACTTTCTCATTGGAAAACTAATCTTTGACATGACAGATGCTTTTGTTCACCTCAGAACTCAGTTCCTTAAATTACAGACAACATTTCTTCAAACTTCATCCTGTTTGAAATATGGACTTGGGGATTTCTGGTGCAAACACTTAATTTTTTTTTTTAAGATGAAGCCTCTATTTAGTATTTAGTTTGATGAATTTCCCCTATTTATATTGTCAGCGTAAAGAACTGTGGCTACTCTCCTGGCTCGAAGTGGCTTCTGTGCTACTGGCAGTCCTCCAAAGATATTTTATAATCTTTCCTGACTTCATGTAAAATGAGTGATTGACTACCTGTTGGCAAAGAATGGTTTGAACTTTCACTGAAGATCTGGGGTTTGTGGTGATGGAGACCAGAACCAATTGGCCAGCAGGGGGGTGGGGGAGGAATTGCACCTGTCCTCATCTGTCTGCTGGGACCAGTCCTAGCCTAAGAGGAGACAAAAGCATTTTTAAAGGGCTCTCCTGTATTATTAAAGTGTGGAGCGTTGTTGTCTTTCAGTACACAAGCATTTCATGGTGTCAAGATGAATATATTGTAAACTCCATAATTGATAATTCAGGAA